AATTCCCTCTTACAAGGTTAGAAAGGAGACTCACCTCACTCCGAAGATCCATAACCGGCATTCCACGCCCTTCCGAAGACTTGAATCGATGCTAAATACTCCCAAAACTAGCCAATGATTATGCAAATTCATTAATATACGATAAACTACTAATTTTAATCCAATTTATAACAATTCCTAACCCCGATCGAAAAGTTGACAAAAACGTCCTCGGGCCCATGTGCCCGGACTCTGAAAATTTTCGAAGATTAAGCTTACCCATGACTCCATGAACTCAAATATATATTTTACTCTCAATTTCATACCCCAAAATCATGGTCAAATTCCAAGAATATCAATTTTCTAGGTTTTCCTCAAACCCCCAAATTTCTACCAATTTACATGCTAAAATCCATATATACTCGATATATTTAACTCAAGAGGGATGGGATTAGCTTACCTTATCGTTGATGATAAAAATCCCCTCTTGAAAACCCTCCAAGAATCGCCCAAGCCAAGAAAATATGAGAGAAAATGGCCAAATCCCGATTTTTAAAACACTCTCTACCTCCAGCACTTTCCGCACTTGCGGTCCCTTGGCCGCTTCTGCGGTTCCGCAGGTGCGAGCCAACCTACCGCTTTTGCAGTTTCCTCCAGGCTCCCCTTTTTCGCTTCTGCGCCTCATCCACCGCAGGTGCGGTCCCGCTTCTACGGCTCCATGACCGCATCTGCGGTCTCTTCACTCCTGGCCAAAACCGCATCTGCAGCTCTCCTGGCCGCTTCTGCAGCTCCGCACCTACGGCCCAAATTTTGCAGGTGTGGTTATATCAGCAACCAGCAGCTTCAGCCCTTTCAAAAATCCCATTTTCGATCCGTTAACCACCCGGAATCCACCCGAGGCCCCCGGGACCCCATCCAATCATACCAACCAGTCCCAAAACATATTACGGACTTACTCGAGGCTTGAAATCATATCAAACAACGCTAAAACCACGAATCGACCTCCAATCCAAGCTTTATGAACTTTAGAATATCAAACTTCTATATTCGATGTTTAAACCTATCAAATCACGCCCGATTGACTTCAAATTTTGTGCACAAGTCATATTCGACATTACGGACCTACTCCAACTTTCGGAATCGGATTCCGACCCCGATATCAAAAAGTCCACCTCCGGTCAAACCTCTCAAAAACCTTCAATTTCTATCCTTAGCCAAATGGCTCCAAAATGGTCCCCAGACATCTGAATTCACTTCCGATCGTGCTCCCAACTCCAAAATCACCATACGGAGCTACTCCCAGACTCGGAATCCCAAACGGGTATCGATAACACTGAAATTCATATTAATTCAAACTTATGAAATTTCTTCCAAAATGTTAACTTCCACAATAGGCACCAAAATGTTCCCGGGTCACCCAAAACCCGATCCGGGCATACGCCCAAGTCCGAAATCATCATACGAACCTGCTGGAACCTTCGAATCCCAATTCCGATGTCGTTTACTCAAAAATCCAATCCTAGTCAATTCTCTCAACTTAATGCTTCCGAAATGAGAATTTCCTCTCCAAGTCAACTCCGAACTTTCCGAAATTTAATTCCGACCACGCGTACAAGTCATAATACCTGAATTGAAGCTTCTCATGGCCTCGAACTACTGAACGGCGCGCTAGGGCTCAAAACGACCGGTCGGGTCGTTACAGAAATTTTTGAAAAAATAAAATAAAAATCTTTTTATCTTTTAAATTTACAGTGACAGAAGAAAGCTTGAAAGAAACTGTGACCACACACATTCAATGTGTAATAGACTGGACTAGCTTTTAGACCTTATCGGTCATGGGGTCCAGGTTTTGATATAAACCAGAAAATTTACCTGAGCCAATCATTAATTTATACAATTAGATCGTTAACCAACCATTAACTTAGGCATACCGACCACCGTGGATTACTCCTATATAGATGACTTTGTTTTTGTAGAGGCCTTCATGGGATGTCCCGGTTGTACAATAATCTGGATATTAACCAGATCAATTGGTTAAGCATTTATTCATATAAATTATATTGGGCTTATGAGGCTCCATTGCTCCACCCTCAATGGCTACAGGTAAGAAAATTGTAGTTTTGAGTTTAATGTCATCATCTCGACTTATTAACAACGGAATGTATTAGGCTATCAAGGTTACCGATGGTTGTTGCTCAAAATGTCCTCCAAAATACAATTTAACCTGTGACCATTCACCTTAAATTTGTCTCCTCTATTGATCTGTCGAATTTTAATTTCCCCATATGGAGTAACATCTGTAACATTATAAGGACCTGTCCACCTGGATTTTAATTTTCCTGGAAATAGCCTCAGCCTGCTATTGTAAAGAAGTACTTGATCTCCAATTTTGAAACTTTTTTGTCGGATCAAATTGTCATGCCATATTTCTGTTTTTTCTTTGAATATTCTGTCATTTTCATAAGATTACAACCTCAGTTCTTCCAATCCATTAACCTGAAAAAATCTCTTTTTACCAGCAGAGGTTACTTCAAAGTTTAATGCTTTCAGTGCCCAAAAAGCTTTGTGTTCTAATTCAACTGGAAAATGGCAAGCCTTTCTAAAGACGAATTTATATGGGGATGTTCCAATTGGCATTTTAAACGCCGTTCGGTATGCCCATAATGCATCATCTAATTTTAAAGACCAGTCTTTTCTTGAAATTCCAACCGTCTTTTCAAGAATTCTTTTTAACTCGTGGTTGGAAACTTCAACTTGCCCCTGTGTTTGAGCATGATATGGTGTTCCAGTTTTGTGAGTCACACCATATTTTGATAGCAAAGCAGAAAATTGCCTATTCATGAAATGAGTTCCTTGTCACTAATGATGACTCGAGGTGTGCCAAATCTAGTAAAAATATTTTTTTTAAGAAAACTACACACTATATGAGCATCATTCTTCCTTGTGGGATGGCCTAAACCCATCTTGATACTTAATCCACAGCCACAAGGATATATTCAAATGAATGATAAGAAGGGAAAGGACCCATGAAATCTATTCCCAAAACATCAAATATTTCACATACCTGTATTGATTGCAATGGCATCTCATCTCTCTTAGTAATATTACCTGTTTTCTGACACCTGTCACATTGTGTGACATATGCTCGGGCATCTTTGAAGAGTGTTGGCCATAAAAATCCAGCCTCCAATACTTTAAATGCCATACGGTTTGCAGCATAATGACCTCCAATTGCTCCATCATGGCAGTGATACAAAATTTTGGTCATTTCTTCTTCAGGTACACACCTCCTGATGATATTATCTGCACGAATTTTGAACAAGTAAGGTTCATTCCACAAATAATACTTAGCATCAGAAATAAGCTTTTTTCTCTGTTGGTAAGAGAGATCTTGGGGTGTCCATCTTCCAACCAAGTGGTTAGCAATATCTGCGAACCAGGGTGGTTGAGTCACAATAGAGTCAACTGAAAAAATGTGTTCATCAGGAAATTCTTCTTTTATCTCGCTGAACTCAAGGGGAGGGTCTTCTAGTCTAGACAAATGGTCAGCTACCTAATTTTTTGTTCCTTTTTTGTCTTTTATCTCAAGGTCAAATTCTTGCAGAAGTAAAATCCATCTTAACAATATAGGTCGAGCATCTTTTTTGGCTAAGAGGTATTTTAAAGCTGCATGGTCAGTAAAAACAGTCACCTTTATTCCTATCAAATAAGCACGAAATTTATCAAATACAAATACTACCACCAGTAACTCCTTTTCTGTTGTGGCATAATTCAGTTGAGCCTCATTTAGTGTTCTACTAGCATAGTAAATGAGATGAAAAATCTTATCCTTTCTTTGGCCTAAAACAGCTCCAACTGCCGTATCACTAGCATCACACATAACCTCAAAAGGTTGACTCCAATCAGGGGACACAACTACAGGGGCAGCTGATAATTTCTCCTTAAGGGTGTCAATAGCTATCATACAATCACCTGAAAAATCAAACTTAACATTTTTCATCAAGAGGTTAGTCAAAGGTTTTGAAATCTTTGAAAAATCCTTTATGAACCATCTGTAAAGACCTGCATGACCTAGAAAGATTCTAATGCTTTTTACAGTTGTTGGAGGGGGTAATCCTGCTATAAGATTAATTTTAGCCTTATCAACTTCTATCCCATTAGCAGTGATTTGATGTCCTAAAATTATTCCCTCTGTAACCATAAAATGACATTTTTCCCAATTCAGAATCAAGTTTGTCTCTTCACATCTCTTAAGAACTAAAGTCAAGTGGTAAAGACAATCTTCAAATGTTTTGCCAAAGAGTGTAAAATCAACCATAAAAATTTCAAGAAATTTTTCAGTCATGTCAGAAAGAATTGCTGATATGCAATGTTGAAATGTAGCAGGGGCGTTGCACAGACCAAATGGCATTCTCCTATAGGCATATGTTCCATGAGGACATGTGTAAGTTGTCTTATCCTGATCTTCGGGTGCAACTGGTATTTGGTTATACCCTGAATAGCCATCAAGAAAACAGTAAAAACCATATCCTGCAATTCTTTCCAACATTTGATCAATAAATGGTAAAGGAAAATGATCGTTTCTGGTAGCATCATTGAGGCGTCTATAATCAATACAGGCTCTCCATCCTGTAACAGTCCTCGTAGGTATGAGTTCATTATTCTCATTCTTTATAACTGTCATACCTCCTTTCTTTGGTACTACCTGAACTGGACTTACCCAAGGGCTATCTAAAATTGGGTAAATAATACCTGCTGCTAGAAGCTTGACAATCTCCTTTTTCACCACTTCCTGCATTGCAGGATTTAATCTCCTTTGAGTAGGATTATTGGCTTGTATCTATCCTCCATGAGGATCCTATGCATACAAATTGCTGGACTAATCCCTTTGATATCCTCTACAGTCCACCCTAAAGCTCCTTTGTGTGCTTTTAAGACTTGAATAAGTCTTTTTTCTTGTTCTGCAGTCAAAGAAGATGAAACAATTACTGGAAATAGTTTTTGCTCAAGATAAACATATTTTAAATGAGAGGAAGAACGTTGAGTTCAATTTTTGGTTGAACTTCTTCCGATTGCATCTCCTTATCCTCTGAATCTTTTTCCAGTATTTCAGCTTCTCTCCTAATTGTGGGATCATCATCTTGTGCCGTGCCTGATTTGGTCAAACATCTTTTCATTGAGTCTGAAATTAATTGATCATCTTTAAATTCATTTGCAAGGTCACTAATCATGTCAATAGAAAAGCATGAAGATGATGTCTCATCTCCTGAAAATCTTAGTATCTTTTGCATATAAAAAATGACTCTTTCTTCATCAACTCTCAAGATTAGTTGCCCTTGGTGAACATCTATGATTTCTCTTCCTGTAGCAAGAAATGGTCTACCCAAAATTATCGGTTCATCAGGACATTCTTTCATTTCAAGTACTACAAAATCTAAAGGGAAAACAAACTTATCTACTCTTACATGCACATTTTCTATTATTCCCTTAGGTTTCTTAGTACTTTGATCTGCAAACTGAAGAGAAACACCTATATCTTTCATTTCACCAAGATCTAATTTTCTAAAGATAGAAAATGGCATCAAATTTATTGAAGCTCCAAAATCGCCAAGTGCTTTTTCAAAATATACACCTCCCAAAGTGCATGGAATGGTAAAACTGCAAAGATTACCAAGTTTTTGTGGTAGCTTATTTTGAAGTATAGCACTGCATTTTTCAGTAAGCATTACCACATAAACTTCTTCCAATTTCTTTTTACTTGACAAAATTTCTTTTAAAAATTTAGCATATGAAGGCATTTGCAACAAAGCATCAGTAAAAGGAATATTAATATGAATCTGTTTTAAGATTTCCAAAAACTTTGCAAATTGACCATCAACCTTTTCTCGTTTCATTTTTTGTGGAAAAGGAATTGTCACAGGTGGGGCAGCCATTTTTTCAGAAATTTTTTCTTCCTTATTCTTTATTTCTTTCTCCTTTGATGGTTCAGATGGTTTTTCAATATTCTTACCCATGTCTACCTGTTGTTCTATCTGGTTTTTTTCTTGTTTGTCTGCATAAGGTTCATCAAGTTCCTTACCTGACCGTAAAGTGATGAACTTAAGGTGCTCCTTTGGATTTTTCTCTGTATTGCTTGGTAAGGGACCCTGAATCTTTTCGAACACAAGAGCTGCCAATTGGCTTAACTGAATTTCCAGATTTTTGAGGGACGAATTTTGGCTTTCCATCTTTTCATCAGTGACCTGTATAAAAGGTCATCAAGACTTGTATGAGCTTGTTGGGGCCTCTGCTGGTATGACTCTGCTTGTTGATATGGTCCTGCTTGCTGATAAGGTCTGTAACCTGGTTGCCCACAATTTGACTCTGGTATCCTGGCGGACCCTGTACCTGTTGTTTCTGGAAGCTTTGAGAGTTTTCTGCACCATTTGGGTTACTCCACTGAAATCCTGGATGCTTTTGTGCCATTGGACTACTAAAAGGATATGGCTAGTAACCGATGACATTAACATGTTCATCCGTTTGATTGGTTGTGTAACGACACGACCTGTCGTTTTGAGCCCTAGCGCGTCGTTCAGCAGTCTGAGGCCATGAGCAGCTTCATTTCAGGTATTGTGACTTGTACATGTGGTCGGAATTGAATTTCGGGAAGTCCAGAGTTGAGTTGGAAGGAGAATTCTTGTTTCGGAAGCTTAAAGTTGAAAGAATGAACTAGGATTGGGATTTTGAGTAAATGACCTCGGAATCGGGATCTGAAGGTTCCAGCAGGTTCGTATGATGATTTAGAACTTGGGCGTATGCCCGGTTCGGGTTTTGGATAACCCGGGAGTGTTTTGGCGGCTATTGAGGAAGTTAGCATTTTAGAAGAAATTTCATAAGTTTGGCTTGAAGTGCATTTCACTGTTATCGATGTCCGTTCGAGATTCCGAGACTGCAAATAGCTCCGTATGGTGATTCTGGAGTTGGGGCGCGATCGGAAGTGAATTCGGAGGTTCGTAGGTCATTTTGAAGTCATTTGGCTAAAGATAGAAAATTGAAGGTTTTGAGAAGTTTGACCGGAAGTGGACTTTTTGATATCGGGGTCGGAATCCGCTTTCAAAAGTTGGAGTAGGTCCGCAATGTCAAATATGATTGCGTGCAAAATATGAAGTCAATCGGACGTAATTTGGTAGGTTTAAACATCGGGAATAGAAGCTTGAAATCTTAAAGTTCATTAAGCTTAAATTGGAGGTCGATTCGTGGTTTTGGCGTTGTTTGGTATGATTTGAGGCCTCGAGCGAGTCCGTAATGTATTTTGGGATTGGTCGGTATGATTGGTTGGGGTCCCGGGGGCCTCGAGTGGATTTCGGGCGGTTAACGGATCGGAAATGGGATTTTTGGAAGGCTAAGGTTTGCTGCTTCTGTCATAACCGCATCTGCGGTTCAAGGACCGCAGAAGCGGGACCGCAGATGCGGTCAGTCATCCGCAGAAGCGGATTTTGGTCAAAGGCTCGAGGACCGTAGATGCGGTCAAGGTTCCGCAGAAGCGGGACCGTATCTGCGGAAAGCTGGTCGCAGAAGCGGAAGAGGGCATCTTGGAGAGGACCGCAGATGCGGTCAAAGTTCCGCAGAAGCGGGACCGTATCTGCGGGAGGCACGTCGCAGAAGCGAGAAAGGGCCGGCCTAGGGAGGACCGCAAATGCGGTATTTTAACCGCACCTGCGGAACCGCAGAAGCGGTCAAGGGACCGCAGGTGCGGAAATAGCTGAGGCAGTGAGGTCTTTTAAAATTCGGGGTTGGGTTCATTTCAACCCCATTTTCTTCCATTGGAGCAGATGGGGAGCAACTTTAAGGTGCCATTTTCTTCACTCATCATGAGGTAAGTAATTTATGCTAGCTTTGAGTTAAATACAAAGTTTATACATGGATTTAGGCAAAGAAATTATGGAAAAAATTTAGGTTTTGGTGGAAAACCTAGAAATTTACATTTCTTGGAATTTGACCACGATATTGAGTATGGAATTTAGTGAAAATTATATATTTGAGTTCCTAAGGTAATGGGTAATCTTTATCTTCGATAAATTTCGGATTCCGGGCACGTGGGCCCGAGGGCGTTTTGGTCAACTTTTCGATCGGAGCTAGGAATTGCTATAAATTAGATTGTAATGAATATTTGAGCATATATTAATGGATTTGCGTAACCGTTGGCTAGTTTTGGAGCATGGTGCATCAATTAGAGTCTTCGGAAGGGCGTGGAATGCCGGTTATGGATCTTCGGAGCGAGGTGAGTCTCCTTTCTAACCTTGTAAGAGGGAATTGTCCCCATAGGTGAAATAATTGATTATGTGCTCCTATTTATTGGGGCTACGTACGCACGAGGTGACGAGAGTCCGTGCGTAGCTACTATTATGCTATTGTCTGGGTAGTTAGGACCCAAAAGCATGCTATACTTGGNCATAATATGCGCATGCTTGCATTGCTTATCCTGAAACTTATTGAAGTTGATATTGCCTTTTTATGGCCGCTATAAACTATAAAGATAACGAAAAGTAAATCTTGGAATTTCATTGTTATTTGAGAAGGTGTTACCTGTTTTCTTGCTTTATGAGTTATAATTGCTAGATAAATCCATGTTATTCTCACATCTTCACCATATTATTATTGGACCACTAGTAAGTGTCGAAGTTGACCATCTCGTCTCTACTTCTTCGAGGTTAGACGGGATACTCATTGAGTACACGTTGTTTTCGTACTCATACTACACTTCTGTGCATTTTTATTGCACAGGTATATGTAACTCTAGCGGCCTACTGACGTAGCAGCACGGATGATTCTGGGACTAGGTGAGTGGCATTATTCGAGGCGGTCCACAGCTAGTATAGTCCCTTCCAGTATATTGTATTTATTTCCTGTCCACTGTATTCCGGACGGATGTTGTATCTTATTCCCTTATCAGTCGATGCTCATGCACTTGTGACACCGGGTTCTGGGATGGTTTTGAAATATTTTGTACTAATTGCTTGTTATTTAATTTGAATCGAAGCAGTTATCTTTTCATTTTATGAAAAATTGAAGGAAAATCTTACTTTTCAAGATTGTTAAAAATGAGAACTTCATCAAATAATTTGGGTTGGCTTGCCTGATAGCAGTGTCCGGCGCCATCACGACCCTTAGTGGATTTTGGGTCGTGACAACATGGTATCAGAGCACTAGGTTCCTAGGGTCTCACGAGTCATGAGCAAGTCTAGTAGAGTCTCGCGGATCGGATACGGAGACGTCTAGTACTTATCTTTCAAGATTGTTAAAAATGAGAACTTCATCAAATAATTTGGGTTGGCTTGCCTGATAGCAGTGTCCGGCGCCATCACGACCCTTAGTGGATTTTGGGTCGTGACAACATGGTATCAGAGCACTAGGTTCCTAGGGTCTCACGAGCCATGAGCAAGTCTAGTAGAGTCTCGCGGATCTGTACGGAGACGTCTGTACTTATCCTCGGGAGGCTGTAGGGCAGTTAGGAGTACTTCCCTTCTTGATTCCTCATCGTGCGTTTTGATTCCTGTGAGGCTTATGCCTTTGTTTCCTTCCTACTCAATCTTACGCGACGCAAAGCGCTTGCTATTCATTGAGAATTGAAGAATTGTAATGATATTATGAATATGGTGCGGGATGTTTCTCCCGGTATAGTCGTCTAAGCTATTATCGTTGCTTTGTGGAAGGATATTTTATTGTTTCAGCCCAGTAACGGTACTTCTGAGGGCTCTGAGGCTAGGCACAAGTTGCCATGATGCTTATGAACGATTGTTCCGCAGTTGTGATATGATGGTAGGATGTTGCCCACGTGTCGGGGCAGTAAATGACTTGAAGGGAGGTTTATTGAGTGCATGATATAGGGATTCGGTATTTTATTCCCGGTAAGGGAAGGGCAATCGGACTAAGAACGTGCAGATTTGCGATGATGGGGTAACGAGGCTTGGTATTTGTAAGCGTGGAGGAATTCTCATCTGTGATGAGGTGTCATTGTCCTTGATGAATGTACTAAGCTCGCCGGTGTTATGACTTTCTACAATTCGACTTTGGGGCAAGCTTTTAGGAGATAGTATCGAAAGTGTGGCTGTTAGATATCGCGAGGTAAGGTGGTTCAGGATTGAACCGGCAATTCTAAGATAGATTTTATTTCAGGCAATCATTGAGCAGCAAAGTATGAGGAAAGACATGAGGGAAGTGTCAGGGCGAGTATAAGAGGCCAAGGGTCGAGTGATCAATTAAGGGGATGAGTTCTGCCAAAGTGGGAGAGTGGCGGAGTTGCATATGGGCTTTGCAGTGGGATGACCACGTACCTTAAGGAGAGTTTGGAGTGATTTGAGAATGTTAGTGATTGATGATTGGGGTCTACGGATTTAATTTGAAGTATGGGCTATTATGCGGCAGGAGATTTGATATAACGAAAAGGAGCTGCCTAAAAGAAAGAAGGATGCAGCATAACTTCGAATTGGAAGGTTATCGCCGCAAATTTAAATGATGTCCACGAGGGGTAAATGGACATGTGCAGCTGGAGAGTGAGCTCAGACTCAGGATGTGTTATTGATGTCGTAATGATTGTATCCCGTGCAGCCGCGTTGGAAGATGCCGGGGAGAGCTTTTATAGGTGGGTTACCCAAGTGAGCAGGTTAGCGGTCGCGTGGTTGGCGAGGCTTCTGCGAAAAATTCTATCGGTTATATAGCAAAGGGATCGGCTGTGCAAATATGATTGATGAGTCAGAATATAAGAAGGGGTTTTAGAGAAATATTTCGAGAACTTTGGCGGCTGACTGCGCGAGGTTATGTCAATAAGAGATAAAGAGGACGGGTGAATTCCAGATTTGTGAAATGATGGCTTCATGCTAAGTGGGAGAGTCCCACCGCTTATGATTGGGTTGCATGGTTAACTACTTGCGAGATTTTTGGCTATTAGCATATCGATGGGCTATTTCAGCTACGAGAAAGGGCCAGAAGTGGTAATTTGAGCAAGGAAGTATTAAAGGTGGGCTATCGTTGGCCTTATTGGCCCATGTTCAGATTGGAAGAAGATTCAGGGTTTTGTTTTGTATAGTTGCGGGTTCCATGGGAATTGTTTCGGCGGGTTTTTCACCAAGGGGGTATTCAAGTGATGGGATTAACTCATGGAGTTGATTATATTCGGGGCCAAGTCAGAGCGGGTGGCTCTCAACAGCGGTCATGGCAAATTCGCAAGATGAGGTGTGATGCCTAATGATTTTGGGTGTATGGTTACGGGTAAGGATCGAGCTTGTTAGCAGCTTATGAGAAGAGGCTCAGAATGTTCTATGATGTTTTGACTTGCAGTGTAGCATTTGAGAGGTATGAGATGGTTCGTGGGATTTGAGACAGTATGGTCTCATGATTCAAGGTCACTCGAGATGAGTGCGGATAGAGTATGGTAAGTGTTGAATGGAGTTATTATTGTTTTGATGGCAATCAAGGATAAATTGGAC